CTCTTGTCGCGATTGCGATGAGGCACTAGGGTATAAGATTTCTTGGGCTCATACTACTGCTTCTTTTCTTGTCGCTGATCGTCATTAGCCCATCTACGATCAGCCTTCCTATTCTCTCCTCGGTTGGGAGCACTACCCGAAGAACCGGGGTCGTGGCGACTGAGAGCGACCACGAAATTCTCAATGCGGAGGTACTCTTCAGTAAGGTTGTAGAAGCAAGTGAGGGAAATATCATCCTCAGATTGCAGTTCCTTCCACAAGTTTGTATGCGAGCAAACTCCCGTAATGATGAGAGTCCGAACAGACTCTTTGGGAGTATGAGCAACTTTATGGAGCTCCTTAAGGAACCTGTCTATATAAGATTGAAGGGGTTCACCCCTCTCCTGCCATATATTGCTCAGGTAGCTTAACAGCATTGAGAACTTCATGTTCGCTTGGAAGTGTCTCAGAAACGTCAAGCTCATTTAAGGCCATGAGCCAACTGATCCCGCTGGGAGCGACCTAAACCAACACTTGGCATGGTCAGAGACTTGGTGGAGTTCCATGAGGTCGTTGAACTTGTATAAATGATCATGCGGATCAGAATTTCCGTCGAATGCTCGTATGTCGAGCATTCTGAATCTCAACGGGAGAGAGATAGCTAACACTACCAAAGAAAAGGGAGACCCATCTGCGACCTACCTTTGCTAATTTTGCTGAGCTTTAAACTGATCCAGAGCTCGCTGTAGCTCCTCAATCGATCACTTTCCGCAACGTGGGTTCGACCCTCAAGGTTACAGTTGAGGAAAGACCGCAAGTCAAACTCTTCCTCACCTCGGCCGAGAGCCCCGACCAATCTCGACACACGTTGGCTGGAGTCGTGTGATGGCATCAAGGGATTCGGGGAGTCTTCTCAACCTCCACGGTGGTACGAACCGACCCGTTAATGGGAATCTCCCCGCCTTGCACCTTTGTGGGCGTGCTCGTGTGACCTGGCATGGGACGGCTCATGCTGCGGCATATCGTCGAGTCGTAATGCCACAGGTATTCTACCCGGGGCGCGATTGACATTCGCTATTCCCTCGGAGCCCTTGGGTCCGCTGTGTGCCACTTGCTTTCCCTTTCTCTGAAGCGCTGCAGTGCGCACGGCATGGGCTTTTGCCCTTTTCTGCGCTTTCACGTGACTTGCAGGTGTTTTTGGCGGTGGCATCGCCTCATTGGATTCAAGTGGCATGACCCGATGTAATCGGTCTGCATTCGGCTGACCATTTGAAGAGTATTATTAAATCTCTCCAAGTAGCTCATGACAGTTGGGTCGGGCTGTGAGCTTGAAAGGATATCCCCAATGATGTTCTACTGGATTGGTGGCACTTCGGGAGAAGTGTCCTCTTGTACTTGGGGAATAGCTTCATTACCATGACCAGTTCACTTAGATTCGAAACAGCAAGCCATCTGCTGTTATGGGACCGATCAGTCAGAGATTCCTTTGATGAAAAGTAGGTATTAAATCAGACCTTCTTTCTAGCACCAAACTGTTGATGCTGGATTTTGACATTAACTACTCACACGTGTAAAATGCTAAAAGGACTTAGAAGTCACACGTAATATAAAAAGGGGTAAATAAGATAAAGGGTGAAGAGCAATGTTTAAAGTGGTTCGGATGCTCAAAAGCGAATCCTACGTCCACTACTATTGTATTAATAAGAGAGAGATTAGGTCGCATCCAGCGAGCTGAGTTACAATTTGAGTGAGAATATAAAGGAGAGAGAGAAAGAGAGTTGTCTAAGCGTAAAATTAACTAATCCCTTAAAATGAGAGGAAAGTCCTGTATTTATAGTGGGAGCGTTCAAGTTAATGATTGTAAAAACTGCAAGTGGGTAGGCACCATGTAAATCCTTCTCTGTGTCCCATTAGTCACTTGCCCGAGGGATTTCCTTGACTAAAGCAGGGTTTTAACACGTGGACGGTCTCCAGCCGCTTGCAAGCCTGACACTTACCTGCTGCACTGACAGGAGCCATGCCACTTGAGCTGGGTGTGACGTGGCTGCGCCTAGATGGCACAAAACCTTTCTGAGCTTTGACCATACTTATTGATGAGGCTCCACGTCAGCCCTACCTTTTCAGGCATAACACCTTCAAAAGCTTTGCAAGTACCTGAGTGGAAAGCAACTATGAGTGATGAATTTCTAGCTCTTTTAAGAAACAATACCTGGGAATTGGTTCCTTATACATCAGACATGAATGTAGTAAGGTGCAAATGGGTTTTTAAGACTAAACTTAAGGCCGATGGGACATTACTAAAGTATAAAGTAAGGCTGGTGGCTAAGGGCTTCCAACAAACACCAGGTTTGGATTATTTTGACATATTCTCTCTAGTTGTCAAACCTGCCACCATAAGGATTATATTGTCCTTAGTTGTACATAATCAGTGGGATATCCAACAAATCGACATTAATAATGCTTTCCAAATGGTGAACTAACAGAGATTGTTTTCACTGTACAACCAGAAGGTTTTGTTGATTTAACCTGTCCTAAGCATGTATGCAAGCTTCATAAACCCTTATATGGGCTTAAACAAGCTCTAAGAGCTTGGTTTGACAAACTAAAACATGCTTTAGTTTGTTGGGGACTCACCAATTCTGTATCTGACACAAGTTTTTTCTTCTACAAGAAAAGCCATCAGGTGGTATACCTATTGGTATACGTAGATGATATCCTCATCATAGGTACTGATCCTACCATCATTTCTCATAATATTCAAGACTTGAACAAGCAATTTGCTCTTAAACATCTTGGTGTGTTACAATATTTCCTTTGCTTTGAGGTTAACCAAAATGATTCAGGCTTACACCTTACTCAGTCCAAGTATGCTCAGGACTTGTTGATTAGAGTTGGAATCACTATAAGAAATATATTATGTTATGACAAAATTAATTTTATCAAATGTTATTTTGTCACGAGTATTTTAGGTAATTATGACAAAATAAAGAAACATCACATTAAATATGACAAAGAGAATACACAGTGACTAAAAAAAATATTGTCATAATATTTTATCACAATAAAGAAACCCATAAGAAATATAGTGAAGAAAACATTTTTATCATAATATTTCATCATAATTTTTTTGCGCAAAATTTTGGCACCTAAGTAAATTGTTTATTGTAACAAACATATTTTGTCATAAAACATTTTAGTCACTAGATTTAGTTATACATGCTATAACTACAAATTATTTTGTTACAAAAGAATTTATTTATTATTACAATAAAAAATTGTCATAATAATGTTGAAACAGAGGTATTAAATATTAATGATAAAATGTTTGAGTCAAAATCTAAGCACTGAGATAAATTATCTAAGGGAAAATTTATATTGGCATTACGTTCCTTCTAATTAGCGTGTTGATTGAGCCATTTAGACTATGCTACTATCTTTATATGCTGGATGGATTTCATGTATATGATGAGCTGTTTTAATAGAGGCATAATTATCATTTTTGCTATATTTTTATTTTATTTATGTTTTTAGAAAAATACAAAGGCCACCAACAATTATCAACCATCTAAGGGGCTGTTTATTTTTTAGTCTTGAATAAGTCTAATTTTACTTGATTCTGACATTTTAGGTTTGTTTGTTTTTTAAATTTTATCTGATAATCAAATAAAATGTAAAAGCGAAAAAAAAATTGATTTTATCTTAATACTAAAACATCTTAATTAATATCATTTTTATTTATCAATTATATTCCTATCAATTTTAAATAATTTCAGTTTTATCAAAATCTTTATATTATATTTTTTGTCTTTTTTATTTATCATAGTTGCACAAATAAAAATCAACCATCAAATGCAATCAACAATGGCGGAGCCAGATGCACTTGGGCTCTAGAAAAAAATTTAAATTTCGTGTACAAAAAAATGATTTTACTCCCTATAAATTTAGTTATTCTAGCCACCAAATTTTTTGAAAGTAACACTTTAGCCCTTATAAATGTAACTTTCTAATCACTTTCTGGCTTTGTCATTCAATAAACATCATATTCTAGTGCCCCCAGAATAAATTTGTTGGCTCCGTCCCTGGCAATCAACTTGCTTGGAATAATTGATAAAACGTTCACATAACAATTGTGAGACCAAATTGAAAATTAATTCTTTCAATGATCTAATTAATTTCATTGCTTTTAATTTTTTTGTTATAATAAAATTTTAATTACTATACAAACACAATGTAATAGCATAATTATCATTAATTATTATATCTTATTTTATTTGTCATTTTCATAATTTGAAATAACATAGTACTAGCATGTAAAAATATAAAAGTAATTTCATAAAGACAGCTGTGTCAAAACACCGATAAAAACAAACAGTCAAACACTTATAATTAGATAATGAAAAAGAAAAATATATGTATCTATCAGAATAGTACATTCAAACATATTCAATAATTAGGACCATTTAATTTTCAGGTAAAAAAACAAATATCACCTAAATTTCAAGTTATAAAAATAATAAAATTAATAGAACTTTGAGCTTGAAATGTATTGTTTAGCCTACAATAATCAATTTCTTTAATATAAATTTGTGTAAAGTGTTTGTAATATTTTTCACTGTCTAAAAGCAAATTTGTGCCTAATCTTTAATGTCTCAATATTAAAACTGAAATATTTTGAGTAAAAATACCTTCACTTGGTTCTATAGAAAGTAATTTTCTTCAAAAAAACATTATCATTTATCAACTTTACTCCAATTAAGATGATAATTTCTTAATTAAATCATATTATTACGATATTATAACAATCCGTTTTCAAAAGTATTTCAACTACTCATTTTTGTTTTCATAAGATTTGTTATATTCCTTATTTAAATAAACTCTTAAATTTGATTTAAAAAATGTCAAATCTCTTCCAATCTAATATGAGATGGGCCTGGAACCCGAGCTCGGGTCAATTTAAGCCTGGCTCCGAAGCCCATTTCTTTTTTCTTAAGTACAACTTGACTTGTTTGCTCTAGGTTCAACTTCAACATCTCTTCTGTGTCTCTTGTAACTCAACCACAACAACAACAATGGCGAGCACCAAAGTTCAGAGGATTATGACTTGTACGTTTTGTATCCTTTTCCTTTACTTCTTTGTCTTTCAATGAATTTTTTTTTTTGTTGCAATGTTTTTGTGGGTTTGTGTGTTTCCAGAACTTGATTTTCAGGTTTCTTCAAAGCGTAAGTGATTTCCTCTTCTGGGTCTGCTTAAAGTTGGTTTTTTGTTGATGGTTTGATGAGTTTTGGGCTTATTTTTGCTGTTCTTTGTTTGCATATATTCAGAAAGCTCGCATTCAAATTTTGGGTTTTTTTTTTTTTTTTTTTTCGGAATGGTTGATGATGTTAGAGATGTGGTATTTGTTAATTTGCAGTTTTTGGTATATAGTCGTTAATCACATTGTTTATGTTGGATAGATCTGAATATTGTCTGCATGTTATTTGTTAGTAAGTGCAAAGATTGGATTTGGAAGTTGCTTACATGCTCCACTTTGCTGGTAAAGAATGTTTTTAGATATAGATAAACTAACATTCTTTTGTCGGAGTAGATTTGTTTTGTTAATGTAAAATATTAAAATTCTTATCTTGATATGTTTGTTTCTGTGGCATACCTATCATTTTGTTATATTTTCTGAAGTTTTTCTTTTCATCTTTCATCTGGTGCTGTTTATGGTTATGTGTTTCATCTTTGCTGTTCCCATCTATTTATAGTTCTCATCAAGTATATACTCTGTATAGTACTAGGTTGCAACGTTGTCACTACCCCATATAAAATTGAAAAGAAAAATTAAGCACTGCAACACAAAGAAGAAATCGAAATTAAAAGATGCATCTTTACTGGCATTTAATTTTGCAATTTCTTGCTCTAGTTCCTTTATGATCTAACTCCTTAGCATGATTAGCTTTTGAACCTCCAGCCAATCATAAATATAAAAGTAGGCTGGCTTCGTGTTGAATTCAACTTTTGAACAGCTTGGTTTTCTTATTTGTGGTATCCTTTCAAGCATTCTTCTCTTCAGTCTTTATACAAGTTTAGTTTGTTTCATTGACGCATTCTGCTACTAATTGTTATGATAGATTAGGGTTTTGATTGGCAAACACATAAGAATATCATTCTACTCTTCAAGTGGCTCATTTGTTTCAGCATGTTATTTTGTTGCTGACTTTCCAACTAGGAATGCATAATATTACTTGTATTTTCTTCACTTCTTTAATCTTCAATGATAATAAATTCAGTTATGAGGGTAGATATGATTTGCTTGTATCAATTATTCATGTTTCAACTGTCAAATGCACGACCTGTTGAGCTTTAATGTTCATTTTTACTTGAAGCTTAGGTGGTAGAGGTTCTGAGTTGCACTCAACAATGTTTATAGGGAAAAAACATGCTTACCTGTGTAAATTTTTTCGTTGGGCTAGTTGGATATGTGATATGATAACCTATAAGCCATCCTTAACAAAGTTTTTTTTTTTTTTTTTTTTCTCATAAGATAATCTTCTAATTAAGGTCAGAGCAATTTGCTTACACAAGGTCAAGAATAGCTACAAAATGTAGTTTATTCGTTTGTAATGAGCCAGTCAGCCAATTTTTAATTATCTTATCTTATCTTGTCTCTTTGTGAACATTTCTTCCCCTTATTATAAGAGAGGGCATGTTATTGTGCATGTGACTTGAACTGAGGTTTAAAAGGGGCATGAATCACATATAACCATGTAACTCGTAGGAAATGAGCTCTTTGAAGCAAAGGAAACCTCAGGATACATTTCTAGGAAAGGATACATTTCTAGGAACATGTAATATTTAGCTTTCAAATGTATAATACATTCCAATTGCTTTAGCGATGAACATGTCTAAGATAAGAAATCTTTATCCATTCAATTCATTATGCCCGGTAGTCTTTTGTTGTTTTTCTTGCTTTCGTTGCAGTATGGATCATGCTTTAAACCTTTCCTTAACTTTTCCCAAAATAAGTAAAATAAGTTAAGACAAACGATATTATTTATAGAAATACCTTCGTTGTAAGCATTTATTAGATTCTTAGTTCGTTCAAAATGTGATTCAATTTCTGTTATTCATTTTGGTTTTACAGGATTTTGATTAGTACATGAACTTGGTTCTGGATGATGCTGAAGAAGTCCACATCAAGAAAAAGACCAGAAAGTCATTAGGTGATTTATTTTCTCATTTTTTTTAGTACCTCTGATCCAATGCCCATACTTTAAATTCTTTCTGTACTTTCACAGGAAGGATTCTTCTCTAAGGAGACAACATAACGAATTTCTTTCACATATTAATGAATTTCTTTTTCTAAATTGCAGAGGCAAGTGATTATTCATCCAAGGGACGATTTATATTGGCATTGCGTGCCTTCTAATCAGTGTGTTGATTGAGCCATTTAGACTATGCTACTATCTTTATATACCGGATGGATTTCATGTATGATGAGCTGCTATAATATTGGCATAAGACATTAGATGGTACTCCATTATGAATATTTTTATCATTTTTTAGATGACAAAAAATATGTCACGCCTATATTATTTTGACAATAAAAAATTTGTCGTGTACAAATATTTGTATCAAAAATTATTTGTCATGCCATAGAATTTTTTACAAAATTGTTATCGCTATTATACAGTCTTTTACAAATAATATTGTCATTTAAACAAACAAACATGTTGTCAAAATAAAGTCACTATTAAAATAAAAATAAGGAGCAAATAATTTGGTTATCATTCACAATTTTGACAAAATAAATTTTGGTATAATATATTATTTTTTTACCATAACACTTATCAATTATCATTTCGTCCTTAAATGTAATTCATTTGTAATAAAATATTATTTGTAGTGACAAAAATTGTTTTCTATTGTCACAAATAATTGATCACAATAACTAGTTTAAAGTGACAAATTATTATTGTCACAATAAATGATCAAAGGTTTTTTTGTCACTATACACTTGAGAGTACAAGCTTAATGTAATCAACCTGGTGACCAATATAATTCCTCACATTAGCGAAATGGTCACATTGCAATACACCAATGGCGACGGGTGTGAAATTAGGCAAAGAAGACAGTGCATTTTATGAACAACCTTCACTTTATCGTAGCATTGTAGGTGGTTTGCAGTACCTCACTCTTTCCAAACTTGAGTTTGCATTCTTTGTCAATCGATTGAGTCAACTTCTTTAGTCTCCCACCATTGCACATTGGACTACTTGTAAGAGAGTCATTTGGTATATCAAGAGAACTCTTTCACATGGGTTTAATTTTCAAAGAAATCCAGAATTCATCCTTGAAGGATATGCTTATGCCAATTGGGCTAGTAATGTAAGTAATAGGAGATCGACAAGTGGATATAGTATCTTCCTTGGAGGAAATTTGGTGCACTAGGTTTTTAGGAAGCAGAAGGTAGTTTCTTTGTCTTCAACAGAGGCTGAGTATAGGTCTCTAAGTCAAGCTGCAACTGAACTTGTTTTGATTCAACATTTGTTTCAAGAACTTGGTATAACTATTAATAACACTCATGTTTTGTGGTGTGACAATATAAGTGCTAAAGCCCTTTCTTCTAACCTTGTATTCCATGCACGAACTAAGCACATTGAGATAGATGTGCATTATGTTCAGGAGTTAGCAACATAAAAGAAGTTATGTAGTCAATATGTTGGTACAGAATATCAAATTACAGATATTCTAACCAAGGCACTTCCTAGTTTCGGATTTCAAACTCTCAGAGCCAAGTTAAAAGTAGTTTCTGAGATAGGTAATGAGCAAGACAGAGGTCTTAATAAAGATAACATTTTGTTTGATGAAGATGAAGATTTAGTTGTTAGGAAGCGATTTAACCCATGATAGCAGAAAACAAAAATAAAACAACGATCGATTTCATTTTAAGCCAAGATCAGGATACAGATGTTACAGATAATATGTTAAATAAAATATTATGTAGTAATATAAAAGATCAAAGTAAAGATTAGAGTTTATACACATGTTTGGAGACTCCTTTAAACTTGTCTCTGATTGGGATCGCTACCGATTCAAAATAGAATCGAACTAACGGTAGTCAACACGAAGATAAATTGAAGAGCTAAAGAGGGATTTGCTATATCCTCTTTAGCCTCAAGAATCAAGAACAAGAATCAAATAAATTTGATTCAATCAAAATAAAGTGGCATAGGGTAAAGAGAAAGGGGCTGGAGCTTTTCAATCAATGAATATAAAAATGACTTAATGAAAAGTGTTATTTAATTCATGGAACACATGCACTTGTATAATGTATGTGAAACCCTATTCCACTTAGGAATAGGCTTATGCACCAACCCAAACAACCCCTATGTCCAAACAGCCCCATTTAAATATTGTTATTTTAATTATTATTATTTCAATTCAATTCAATTAATATATATAAAATATATTAACATTTAACAATAACAATAAAAATAATTTATTTAAATATATGCGTACACATATTTAAATATAATCTTGCTTGTTTAATTTCAATATCAAATTAAATAAAGGTAACAACCTAAGCAAATTTAATTGCACTGTGAGTTACCAAAATACCCTTTTGTCTAAAAAGATGAAAACACCATTTACACAAACTGATTCTTAAATTATCTTCTATATGTGTGAGTCGTGGGCTCCTCATCATATTAGCAGTGTGTAGTATTGTGATTAATACCAATTAATCGTCTCACTACACAAAGACCAAGATTGACCCCTAGCAAGGCATCATGGCCACCCGATACCAATAGATTCAGATTCAGCAAAGTAGTTACCTATCAACGATATGGTTATTGTACAATTCAATCCTTTCATCATCTGTTAGCTCATCGAAACCAAGACACAAAAATAATGTCAACCTTAGTTACTCTCAATATGTATATATTCAGTTATTAGACCAATGACTGTAATAATAAACAGGATTGAGCAACAACTCAATCCCACTGTGGCCACAGTTTTAGTGTCATTGTCATTTACTGAATTGTGTCGTGAGATAACTTCTCCCGTACCTAGGAGTGATGAATCCTTTGTCGATCCACCATAGTCTTGATACACTCCTTGATGCAGTCAATTACTACCGTATTAACTACTCTGAATAGAACTGTGTTGGGCTAGTGTCAAACTACACCAAGCGGTGCATAAGGCACTCCGGTGATCTCAAGTCTAAGGATCACATGCACCATCATTCGTTAGAGGATTTGTTCCTTAGACATTGAGTTGCACCATGTTGTCACAAAACAACCTTGATAAGTGATATCATTCACTGCCTTTCGATAGGGTCATTTAATACTATGATAGTCTTACCGTATTATTTGTGCCCTTACTTCAGAATAATACTGGAGCTACGGATGTTTCTAGAATGACCACCATACGTGCTCATAGGGTTCTTTCTATCAAGATTTAAAACACTTGATATCCTAGTCATGGTTCTACCATTCTAAGGACATATATCAATACATATAATATGATGTACGTGACATAGAATAAAATGCATTTTTATTGATCATTGAACATTATTACAAATAGTTAATTCTACAATAAGTGATTGGTTCTATGGCACCTACTCTAACATTAGTTAATTTGAATTCCAGTCATGGAGGCAGTAGTTTAGTTGTTCTTGATAAGTCTTAACCAATTCATAGATTCATGGATGTTGGTGCTCTCGTGCCTAAGTTATTAATGTGTTGTAGATTTTGGACCAGGAGTGTTCAGTTTTCTTATCAGTATCTCTATTCAGGTATTGAGTATTTCTTCTTGCTTGCCTAAGTATTGGCTTCTAAGCCCTAAAGTTTCTTGTTCATACCTAAAGTTGTTGCTGGAAATTCTAAAGTTCTTCGCTGGGCTGAGGAGTTTCATAGAGAGTTGTGGTTGCACTATGAGGTTGCCGTATGAGGTCCAACTTAAGGGGCAATATTACTATCTGCTGGTACATTATGATGTCCAGCTTAAAGGGAAATATGATGTCCAACTTAAGGGGAAATGTTAGTATAATGGTATGTGATTGTAAGAATTAGGAATGGTACATGTTAGTTTGGAAAATGGATATGGGGTGTATTTTGTAAGAAAGTAAGGTAGAATATTAAACATCAAAACTCTACCGTTTTGATGTTATGGCATAATATAAAATAAGCCATCTCCTTGTACCTTTATTCAGTTTTGAGAATATTCAACTAACTTCTCCAAAACTCTCCTCTTTGCTCTCTATCTCTTTTTTGCTTCTTGATTCTAAAGTCATTCATATGTAAATTAATGAGTGGTAGAGGAATTGTGTGACTGAGGCTGTACGAACTTATGGTTCATTCATGGCCTATGCCCCTGTTGTTTGAATCTAACCACCCAATTTTCTTAATTCCTTATCTTAACTTATATAACAGAATAAAATTAATCATCTCTCATCTCAACTTCTAGGATATGAAAATGTTAAGTCATTTATTATCATATACTACTTCACTTGGTTTTCGAGTTAAATATAAATTCTAGCAAAAAATAAAAACAACTATGGTTCATCTCGATTAAATATGGGAAAAATTTACAATCCCCCTAAACTTTATCTTTACTACACAAAGGTTTAACAAATTAAAAATATCATTTCAAGTGCTTCTTGATCAAAGTTGACCAGAAAATATGAACTTAGTCTAAAACTTCTCTGAAAGAAGGGTTCTTCATCTTCACACGTAAATCCTCTCTGAAACTCAAACCATTATTTTATTCATGGCCGGTTTGGCAAGCAATCTCACCCATTTCTCTCTGCAAATCAAAAGCAATCAGGCAATAGTTAAATAACATAAAAAAGGCTAAAGAAAGTTATCACCTGGATTTAAAACTTAATTATCAATGAAATGAGAAGAAAATTAACCTAAATTTCAAATTCTTCTGCCTCTTTTGGTTCCAATTTTTGTAAATTAGACTCTAATTTTCAACAGTCTACTTACTGCTTCTTTTATGTTGATCCTCTCCAGAGTTGATTCTCTTGTGCACTCTACAGCCAAACTCAAGATGGATGATACACATTCCTCCTTTCTAGAGAAATGTTCATCATCCCTTCTTAGCAAATTTGTGTCCACAACTTCCATTATTGTTCTACATAATGATTCGCCAACCCAGGTCCTTAAGCTCATTCCTTCAATAAATATTTCATCTGTTGGTTTCTTCCTTGTAAAGGTTTCCATAAGCATAATACCATAGCTGTATACATCCCCTTGTCTAGATATTTTTCCTTCTCTTCCATATTCTAATAGTGATCACATGCACTTTCATAGTTATTGGAAAGCAAAGAAAATTTAATGGAAAAAATAAAAAATAAAACATACTGAACTAGAAACAGTTACCTGGAGCCATATAACCAATAGTGGAAAGGGTCTGTGTTTGTGTCATAGAGCCTTCTTCACCTAAGAGCTTTGCAATACCAAAATCACTCAAATGTGCAACCATATTTTCGTCTAGCAAGACGTTGCTAGGCTTTAAGTCACAATGAATAATGGGGACTGAATAACCAAAATGGAGATATTCCAAAGCTGATGCAACATCAATCATTATGTTCAACCTCTGTGAAATATCCAAAACGTTGTTGTCAGAATAAAAGCACTTCTCAAGGCTCCCGTTAGGCATGTACTCTAGTATCAAAGATTTAAAATCATCATTTGAACAGTTGCTGATGATTTTGACAAGATTTCGATGATGAATATTACTCAATACCGCACATTCAGCTTCAAAACTTGTAAGCGCTTCTCCAAAATGCAAGTGGAATACCTTTACTGCAAGCTCCATCCCATCATGTAATCTTCCTCTGAAAACTGAACCATAACTTCCTCTCCCAAGCAGGTTGTTCTCACTAAATCCATGTGTTGCTCTCACAAGTTCATGGTAAGAAATTCTTCTCCATGTACGTTGTGGATACATCTCAACATGTGTAGGTGGCCTTGTTCTCTTTTTTCGGCATTTCATCAACACAAAAATAAAAACAAAGACAACCAATGTGAATGTAATGCTTAGTGGCAAAGCAATGAACAACATAACTTTTCTTGAACTTGACTTTCCATGTGTTCTGGTTTTGCATAGTGGAACATGCAGTCGAGAAGAACCACATAATGCAAGGTTCCCCATAAATGATTCAATTGAGAAATTTCCAAAGCATCCTCCTTTAGGAATTTCACCGCTTAGTTGGTTGAAAGATAAATTTAGATATTTAAGGTAAAAAAGTACCTCTAAAGACTTGGGAATCAATCCAGAAAGATTGTTACTTGACAAATCCAAGAATTCCAAGCTTTTCAAGTGACCAAATGTTTCAGGAATTGAGCCTTGTAATCTATTGAATGCTAAGGAAAGGTTCTGTAGATTTTCTAGGCTGTCAATAACAGTTGGAATATTTCCTGAAAGAATATTCCTTGACAAATCTATGTTTATTGCAACCTTAAGATTTCCAATCTCTAATGGAAGAGATCCATTCAAAGAATTTGATGACAAATTCAAGTACAAGATATCCTTAAGGTTCCACAAAGTTGAGGGTATAAAAGAAGTTAATTTGTTGAAACCTAACGACAATTTTCTAAGTGTACTGAGATTACCTAAGCATGCAGGTATGGATCCATAGATCTTGTTACCACCCAATAGCAACTCAAACAATTCATTCAATTGACAAAGACTACTTGGGATGAATCCTTCCAATTTATTACGTTCAAGATTCAAACCTTGGAGTTTATGTAATCCACCAAGTGTAACTGGAATTGATCCAGTCAATTCATTGTCTTCCAATTGTAAAACTATCAAGTTGTTTAAGTTTTCAATTTCTTTGGGAATGTTTCCACTAATGTTGCATTCATTCATGTATAAACTTTCCAAAGAAACAGAAAGATTGCCTATGGAACTTGGAAGGATGCTATTCAGAGGATTTCCTCCTAAAACTAGATGCCTTAAATTCTTGCAATTTGTCAAAGGAGAAATTAAACTCAAATCTGGAGTAGAAGATGTCAAGTAATTACCAGATAAGTAAAGCCGCTCAAGATTTTTTAAGTTACCAATTGTTTCTGGGATGAAGCCTGAGAATGAGTTGAATCCCATTTCTATAATAGAGAGCTTGGAAGCATTGGTAATGAAACCAGGAAATGGCCCAGTGAAATTATTATCTCCCAAGTAAAGCTGCTCAAGGTTTGGAAACTCTGCGGTTGATGGAGGAATTCCCGAAAGCTTATTGAACAAGAATGAAAGGGCTTTCATTGTTGAGATGTTGAAAATAGCAGATGGGACAGGACCCACAAGGTTGTTCAATTCAAGATTTAAATGTTCAAGATTACGAAGATTACCAATTTCATATGGTATCTCACCTGAAAAATAAGAGTTCAATTAGTGAATTAGTTTACAACAAGAAGAGATTCTTAAATAATAACATAAAATTTGTTCAAGCGACGATGAATTCATCGATTAATGTCAAGTTCCCAATTCTCTTAGAATATCTTTCGTTATTGTCCAAACTGTATGGAATTGGATTTGTGAGCTGGTTAGGAGAGATATATACATATATGCCTTCAAAATTAGGCAGATGTTGACACCTTTTGTTCGGAAGGCTATTATCCACAAATTTCGTGTAAATTAAAGAAGAAATGTTGAAATAAGTGAAGGAATAGTTCAATTATTGAATTGGATTACGACAAAATGTAATTATTCTATTATAACAAAACAAAAAAAAAATAAAAATAAAAAAATAATTGAGAGAGGTTTATCTTGTACCTATCAATTTGTTGTCGTCAATAACTAGGTACTTGATTAATGTCAACTTCCCAATTTCTTTTGGAATTTCTCCGACAAAATCAATATAAATAAGCAATTGTATTGTTCAAAAAATTTCTAAAAGGAAAATTTGTAAAAACATTTATAAACAAAGTTTCATATAAAATAGCTTGGAGGTTATTGTATCCAAGATAGATCTCTTTAAGCTAAGTCAAGTTTCCAATTTCTTTCGGAATGGTTCCTATGAAACAATTGAAAAACAGGGATAAGCCTTGCAAATTTTTACAATTTGATAACGAGGATGGGAGGATTGGGAAGATTATCAATAATGCTTTCAGGGAGTTGTCCACCAGATAATTTATTTAAACCGAAAGTAAGGTGTACCTATCAATTTGTTCTCGGCAAGACTTAGGAACTCGATTAATGTTAAGTTTGCAATTTCTCTTGGAATATGCTCTCCGAATTGGTTACCATAAAACTACACAAAACGAAGCATTCTACATTGCCCCAAACTGTGTGGAATTGGACCAGTCAATTGATTATGAGACATGCACAACGTTTCAAGATTAGGAAGATGTTGACACANAAACTAAGTAGCTGCAGTGAAGATATGTTGAAGATGGAGGTGGGAATGGAACCCGAAAGCTGATTATAATCAACATAAAGTGGTTGTAACGAAGACAAGTTGCCGAGAGACTGAGGTATAGTCCCTGGGAATTTGATTTCATTCAAACCCAAAAATTGAAGTATGGTTAAGGAGGCCAACCATAACGGGATTTGTAAATTGAAGTTATTGTAACTGAAATCAAGGTATTTAAGACGACGTAATTGAACTAACTCATCAGGAAGAGAGCCATAAAAGCTGCTGTTCTAGAAGCCTAGAATTGTGAGGAAAGAAAGATTTCCCAGTTGAGGAGGAATGGGGTCTGTAAGATTAAAGAAAGAAATATCAAGAAATGTGACTGTATGGTGACGGGCACATACAGTCACATTTTTTGCATTTTCTTTGGGAATATATTTATATATATCTATACACATAGATATATATAAATATATATACCTTGGAGTTTATTGCCGCCAAGATACATCTCCTTAAGCTGGGTCAAACTTCCGATTTCTTTGGGAATGACACCTGTGAAATAATTGAAAGACAGGGATAAGTATTGCAATTTTTTGCATTTTGATAAAGTGGACGGTATTGAGCCCTGGAGCATATTAACATGCAAGGCAAGCACTTCCAAACTAGGAACATTATCTATTTAAACCGAAAGTAAGGTGTACCTATCAATTTGTTCTCGGCAAGACTTAGGAACTCCATTAATGTTAAGTTTCCAATTTCTCCTGGAATATGCTCTCCGAATTGGTTACCATAAAACTACACAAAACGAAGCATTCTACATTGCCCCAAACTGTGTGGAATTGGACCAGTGAGTTGATTATAAGACATGATCAACGTTTCAAGATTAGGAAGATGTTGACACATGTTTTCTGGAAGGCTACCGCTTAGGCTATTATTTGAAAAGTCCATGAAAATCAAAAAAGAAAGGTTGAAGATAAGTGAAGGAATAGTTCCCATTAAGGAATTATTTAAGAGTGATAATGTCTCCAATATTTTCAGATTGCCAAGCTCTTTTGGAATCTCTCCTACAAAATCAATATAAACAAGCAATTGAGCTATTTAGAAAATTTCTCAAAACGGAATTAAAAAAAAAAAAAAATTGTATAAACAAGATTGCTTTTATCTATACACACAGATATATATAAGTATATATACCTTGGAGTTTATTATAGCCAAGATACATCCACTTAAGCTGGGTTAAGTTTCCGATTTCTTTCGGAATGGCTCCTTTGAAATAATTGAAAGACAGGGATAACTTTTGCAATTTTTTGCATTTTGATAAAGTGGACGGTATTGAGCCCTGGAGCATATTAACAGGCAAGGCAAGCACTTCCAAATTGGGAAGATCATCAAAAATGCTTTCGGAGACTTCGCCGGATAATCTATTAAAACTGAAAGAAAGGAGTTTCAGTCGACGTAAGTGAGCCAACTCCTCAGGGAGGGAGCCATAAAAGCTGTTGTTCTTGAAGGTTAGCGTTGCAAGGAAAGATAGATTTCCTAGCTGAGGAGGAAGGGTGCCTGTGAGACCAAAGTTAGAAAAATTCAAAGCTCTAACTCTATGGTGACGGCCAGCACAAGTGATGCCAGTCCAACTACAAACAGAAGAACTTGTGGACCAATTGTTAGCCAATATATTGCTAGGATCATGGCTTATACGAGCTTTCAGAGCAAGAAGAGCTTATTTGTCTGTGGAAATGTCGGTTACTTCCGCATTAACAAAGGAAAGTGTTGAAAAAGGAACTAAGAAAGCTAAAACAATGCAGAGGGAAAGGTTTCTCTCCATGGGATTAGAATGTTACGTGGTTTTAGTGTGGGCTTGGGACATGCGCAATTACACAAGAGTGATACTTATAAATAAACAACGGATGATTATTTCCAAAATTCAACGTCATTGTGTCCCCATCTCTCTTGATATTGATTGAAGGAGAAACGCTTGCCTCATAATACATTTTATACATTGTAAAAATCTTGATAACATTAATTACGTCCAATATTTACGTGTAAAAAATGGTGTAAAAAAGAGGGTAAGTCAATGATTAATTTTTTGGGTCATGCAATAAGAGATGTGATAGGAAGTCTTATTCATCGCCTAGACGATGAAACAATGAGATGCAGAAATAATTGTAGCAAAGACAAAAGTAGAAAGATTGTAGTCACCATAACAGGGGTCCAATTTGTATTGATAGAAGCCTATTGACTTGTAAATTATTTAAATTTTTTTTGAGAAGAATTTCCTCTTATCTCTCCGGGAGGTGTTGGGTGGTTCTCGTTTGTTTCCCTGGACAAGCAATCAAGCAATAGATATAGTCAGTTGACTCAGCTTCTTTCTACAAGTCACCATGGCAGCTAGTGTAAGTCTTGTTCATATATCATATTCAAAAATCGTTTCCAAAGGGCAAGAAAATGTTGCAAACAAGAAAATCCTTTTTAACTTAGATATTAAGTTGAGAAACGTTTATCACCTCAATAAAATAGTAACTGACAGAGATTAAGTAATGAACATAGACCAAAACAGAGGAAACAAAACTAAACATTAGCAAGGTTATATAGATATCATGAATGTGCACATTATTAAATATGTTATGCCCAGGAAAATAAAGGGCTGACGCAGGAGAGTCACGTTAAGGGTGACCTGCTCCCGTCAGGACGACACGCACACGTCAGGCCTGCAAAATAACACGGAGCTTCCACGCGTCCATTCCTCTGCAGCGAGCCATGCGGAGTCAGCTTGGAAAAAGGAAAATGGGACGTAAAGCCGGATTACATTCTGACAATCACACCAACCCATGAATTTAAGGATGATTACACGCTTCCCTTTGAGATAAAATGAAGAAGACTTCTCCATTAGAGGGATTCGGCCATTCATTACCAAAAAACAACTCTCTCTCTTGTAAAAGAAAAAGCATATATCTTTCATTGACTCTTATGTACGTCAGTCCGCGTAGCGACCTAACCCACACCAACATCAATGCAAAATCAGTGGACGTAGGACTTGCTACCTTAGCATCCGAACCACTTTAAAAACACTCTTTTCATTTATTTCTTTAGGCACATCCATTGCTACGTGCATAAAATTCACAAAACAGTGTCACCCACGTGATAATTGGTTGGTGCCAAAAACGAGCATCAACAGTTTGGCGCTAGAAGGAGGGGCCTGATTTAGCGTCTATCCTTCATCAGGGAAACCTTGGACCTACTGGTCTCACAGCTACAATGGCCCGCCAATCTGAACCTGAGCAGGGGAATCATCATGCTGAAGGAGTCCCCCAAGCCCAGAGGGGCGTCCCTTCCAACATACCTCCAGTTTCGCAAAATGCTGTTGGGAACACCCCAACAGCTCCGCAACTGGACCCTGCCGTTCGAAGCTACCTGGAGAGGTTCGACAATACTCTCCAGACGGTCAACCAGAGGTTGGACCGTCTGGACCAAGGCATGTCGTCCGCGACAGCCAGTGCGGTGCAACCGCCAAAAACGCCTGCAGGTCGCACGAAAGCGCGGCAAAGGGAAATAGCCCGTGCCGCAAGCATTGCAGCGCGTAAGCGCAAGGGTAAGCAAGTGGCAAAAAATAAGCCTACGGGCTCCCAAGGGCCAGCAAGTACAAAAGGCGCCCCGAGCAGGGTGTCAGCAAAGCTGAGACTCGGCGAAAGAGTAAATCCCGAGCTGTCCCATGCCACGTCGCAACCAAACCCGAGCGAAAATGCTGGGCGCGATGATTCCGATCACCACCAGCAGAATGATCCCCATCGTTCTCATGCGGGTGGCCACCACACCTCGCGGGGCGGTTCGTACCACCGCGAGGGTCGTGAAAGCGCCCCGCGCTATCCACCACCTTCACGCGTCTCTAGTCAGCGTGTGTCGAGCACGGTTGGAAATGCGGGCCGAGGTGAGGAGGAATCCGACCTCCGAACTCTCCTGAACCGCAACCGAGAAGGCCGGGCTCGCATGGGTGAAAACAACCCCCATCTGGCTCCTTTACCGCAGATTGAGGAGCTCCAGCGAGCTCTGGATAGGCTGAGGGAGCAACAAAACGAGCAGGCGCAGGTCGCCTCTACATCCCCGTTTTCTCCCGAAGTATTAGCTGCTCCGCTTCCACCAGGGTTCAGAATGCCAGATATGCGGCCGTTCGATGGAAACTACGATCCGCAGGATCATTTATATGAGTTCAACGACCTGATGGAGCTCCACCAGGTTTCGGACCTTGCGAAGTGTCGTTGTTTGGCCGTGACACTCACTTCTCATGCCAAACGATGGTTAAGGTCGCTCCCAGCGGGATCGATCAGTTCGTGGCCTCAGATGAGCACGACATTCCTGCGGCATTTCCAAGCCAACCGGAAATTTTCGATGCCTTTGAGCTACCTCAGCAATATAAGGTAAGAGAGAGAGGAATCCCTGCAGTCTTACATCGATCGCTTCCACAAGGAGCTCAACAAAGTGGCTCACGCACCGGAAGAGTCCATCCGAACTCTTATAATAGCTGGAGTTCGCCCGCAAACCGACCTGTGGAAAGAACTGCAGGCTGAGGACGATATCTCCCTCACCAGATTCTATAACCTTGAGGAGAAGTACCTTCGAATTGAAAATTCATTGGCGGCACTCCGCCGTCGCGATCACGGCACATCCAGCAGTACGCCTGGTCGGGGAGATAACAGGCGAGCTGATCGCAAAGGAGACATTGACGATCAGCGAAAAGGGAAGAAACCCCGCTACGAGCAGAAAAAGTCCTATGCTCCTCTTCCTCGACGCGATCGCGACGGGGCCCAATATACTCCGTTGAATGTGTCCGTATCTGCAATCCTCGATAAATCCGAGGAGGCCAGCCTGCTCGGTGAGCTCGAACCCATGAAAACCCCTGCTACGGCCAGAAACAGCAAAAAGTATTGTCGTTACCATCGGGATAATGGGCACCTCACTGATGAGTGCCGAGCTCTAAAGCAGGCTATCGAAGAGCTCATTAAGAAGGGGCACTTCAAGGAGTACATTGATGACTCCCCAAAAGAAAATCAGGGAGAGCGAAAGAAAAAGTGCCGTGATCGCAGCGGGTACGACAGTGTTAATATAATCTTCAGAGGTCCGCACCTCGCAGGAAACACGCGAGGAGCACAGGAACGATATGTTCGCGAAGCTCGCCACGACCCGATCAGGATAATGAGCACTTCGCAGCGACCTCAAAAAGCTTGAAAGGAAGAACCGATCACCTTTTGTGAGAAAGAGGCAGCTCGCTTGCACCATCCTCACGAGGATGCTCTGGTGATCACCCCCCTGATAGGGTGTCATAATGTCTGCAGAATGCTTGTGGACAACGGAAGCGCTGTGAACATTTTGTTCAAATCTGCTTTCGATAGAATGAACCTGGTCGAGGCCGACCTGAAGCCAGCCTCGATGCCTCTGTACGGTTTTACAGGAGATCACCTGATCCCCAATGGAACAATCCAGCTCCCAGTCACGCTCGACGACTACGACGAGGTGACTAGGGTCACGGAATTCTTGGTCGTAGACTGCCCATCAGCCTTCAACGGAATCTTAGGGCGACCTCTACTGAGAACTTTCAGGGCAGTTACTTCCATCTACCACCTCAAAATGAAGTTCCCAACTCCGACGGGGATAGGGGAGGTAAGCGGATCGCAGAGCGCATCTCGTGAATGCTATGTAAAATCGGTCCAGATGGCCGACAAAGGGAAGGGCATTACGCGATGTGCACCCCGCCATGCTATGACGATCGGCCGGACCGAGCCACAGCCTGGTCCGGCAGAAGATAATATAGATCCGCGAGTATAGGAAATCTCCGCGAGCGGCCCGGTTGAGGATCTGTCCGAAGTTTCGGTTGATACAAAAGAGCCGAGCCGAACGCTAAAGATCGAAAGCTGTCTCAACCCTCAGCTCGCCTCCGAACTAGTAAGCTTCTTGAAGGAGAACATTGATGTGTTCGCCTGGTCGCACACAGATATGGTCGGGATCAGCCCGAACGTTATTTGTCACTCACTGAACGTCAGCAGTGAGGCTAAGCCAGTTCGCCAGAAGAGAAGAGCAATGGATCCGGAGCGGTACGCCGCATTAAAATCAGAAGTGGAGAATCTTCTCTGCAATGGGTCTATTCGCGAGGCTCTCTACCCGACCTGGATTGCTAACCCGGTCCTGGTCAAGAAGCCAAATGGCAAATGGCGGACCTGCGTAGACTTCAGCGAC